TGCTAATCCCAGAACGTCCAAATATATAAATTATAACACCAAGATTATTATATCATAGTATTAACGAGTTTTGTAAAAACCTTTAATATGCCGAAATTATCAACGCAACAAAAAACCGAAATTCTTGTGCTTAAGAGCCGGGGCTTTTCTATTACTCAAATTGCAGAAAATATGCATATCGGGGTAAGTTTTTTACAGTTTATTATATTATTTATTTTATTTTTGACTTGGTTTATTATATTGTTTACTTTATTTCTATATTTTAATATTAAAATTTAATTATAGAGGCCAACTGTGAGATTATGGATAAATAGATATAACAACGATGGAAACATCAATCATAATCCAGGAGCTGGGCGCCCTCGAATGATTCAAGGAGAACCATTGGACAATATTATGGAGGAAATTGAAGAGTTTCCATTCAGATCCACCAGAACCATGGCTCAAGAGTATGGTTGTTCAATGCGGATCATAAGGAATACCCTTCATAGAGCTGGTATCCACCATCGAATTCCTGCCAGAAAAATAGCTTTAACTGAGGAGAACAAAGCAGCACGTGTGCGCTTTGCAAGGGAATTTCGTGATTTCGACTTTTCCCATTCAATATTTTCCGACGAAAAAACATTTAAATCGTCGCAGATTGGAAAAGTTCACTTGTGGAGACGCAATGGCACCCGATACGATCCAAGCCACACGATAAAAACACAAGAATCTGGTAGGATTCATTTAAACATGTGGGGGTGGATGAGCGCTGATGGTCCCGGTGAACTTGTTGTACTTCCAGGAAGAACAACTGGAGAAATTTATCGGGATGTCTTAGAGACATGTCTTCGACCTTCAGTGCGGATTATATATCCACGTGAGGAAGTCCCACTGATAAATTATTTTCAAGATAATGCCCCCATTCATCGGGCACGTGTGGTGCAATCCTGGTTTGACGAAAACCAGGATATTATTAATATGCCATGGCCAAGTAGGTCCCCAGACTTAAATCCCATAGAAAATCTATGGGCCAAAATGGTAAACATCTGGGAAAATGAAAATGAAAGAACCAGGGATGCACTGCAACATCACTGCATTCGAGTTTGGGATTCTTTAAGAGGCACCCAAATATGTCAAAATTTGGTATTGTCAATGAGATCCCGGTGTGATGCGGTAATAGCTGCAGAAGGCGAGATGACAAAATATTAGTTAATTTTGTCATTATTTATTTTTAATAAATTTTATTAAGGTTATATATAGTTTTATTATTAGTAACAATTATTGTTATTATCGTTGATATTATTACTATTATTATGACCACGACAATGAGCCGCTATTTTTTTTTCGCCCTCCGAAAATAAAACTAATTATTAGGCAATTTTCATAATTTATTTAAAATCGTAAAAAAAATACCAAATTAAACCCTTTTTTTAATCTCATAATATATACTATGGAAAATACATATGCCATGGTAAAAACAAATTATAAATATTATAAAAAAAATATTAATGAAAATATTTAAGACGAATAGTAAAAGGGGCGTGATCGCACGTGGCCGGCGAAATTTCTTTAAAGGGAAACAAAAGCGCTATTGAATAGACAATAAATACCAGAAGGCGTGGCCAGCGAATTCTGTTTTAAGCGAACTCCGACCGATACTGGAAAGATAATTATTTCCCCGATAGTACCTAAGGCTAATTACGGCAACAGCAATGATGGCAACACCAGCAGAAGGTTCTTTGCTAATGCTGAAACGTCCGCAAAAATTACAGATATAGACAGAACTTTATTGGAAAGATTTGCTACTGTTCTGGAAGTAATATCTAGTGGGCACAATATTAACGTAGACAAATTTGCTGTATACTGCCGAGATACGGCCAAGCTTTACTTTAAATTGTATTCGTGGCATCCGATGTCGCCAACTGTCCATAAGATATTAATACATGGCCCAATAATAATCCAACATGCGCTTTTGCCTATAGGATCCCTATCGGAAGAGGCAGCAGAGGCCCGAAATAAAAATTTCAGAGAATACAGGGAAAAATATTCAAGAAAATTTAGTCGGATTCAGTGCAACAAGGATGTTATAAATAGGCTTTTGATAACGTCAGATCCATTCTTAAGCAGCATTAGGCCGAAACCTCCCAAAAAATCTAAACCATTTAAGCCAGAAACTATAGATATGTTGCTTTCGTGGGAGGCCTATGCTCACACTGAAGAGGATGCTGAAGCCGAAAGACATTCAGATGAAGCTTCAGATAACGAAGAATGGGATGCGTCATAATCTGAAGAATTAATTATTTTTGGGAAAATTATTCCTATTACTATTAATATTTTACTATTTTTAACTCATATGTTCATTTTTGTAATTATTTAGTTTATAAAGAATGAAAATAAAACAAATAAAACATACAAATAATTTTGATCGACTTTTTGGGTCAAATACTACACTGTGCGTTGATAAAAAATCTATGCTGGTGTCTTATTTCAATAGAGACATGCAGATTTTCATCAGCCCATGCATGACTATTATGAAAATTAATAATTTCAACCCTATTGAATCCGGCTTCGTCGGTAAAAATAATATTTTTAATAAAGTTGGAGTCTTCATGCTATTTTGTTCTCAACCAGCGACAGAATTCCAGTCTACGTGGAAGATCTTGAGGATTTAAATGATAGGGATATAGCAGTTGTTGGTTCATTATGTTATGGAAAGACATATTTAATACCGTTTTTCTCGAAAACGGTTGGCTCCATGTCTTTGTAACAAAATAACCTTTTTTACGTAAAATTATCTGGAGAATTGTATACCAAGATCGAGAATTCAATAAAAAACACAAAGAAAATTATAAGGATTTTTTTCCTATCCACTGCTCTATAAAAATGAATTAGTCAAAACTGACTAAATTAATGCTTATTACTGGCTGCTTTTCCACTTGTACCATGGTTAACCATGGAATACCATGGTATCCCAAAATTTAACAGACAATTCTTATGTAAAATTGTCTCCTGGATCCGAAAATACCGTCAAAAATTATGAAAGAGGAGCAGTTTTTGAAATAACCATGGAATACCGTGGTATCCCAAAATTTAACATCTAATTCTTATGTAAAATTGTCCCCTGAATCCGAAAATACCGTCAAAAATTGGAGCAGTTTTTGAGATATAGTCAATATTATCATATTAAATGGAAAATTGACTATATCTCAAAAAATGTTCTACTTTTTTAACTTTTAACGGTATTTTCGGATTCCGGGGACAATTTTACATAAGAATTGGCTGTTAAATTTTGGGATACCATGATATTCCATGGTTAACCATGGTACAAGTGAAAAAGCATCCACTAATAACTATTAAATTAGTCGTTTTTGACTAATTCATTTTTAGGGAGTGGTTAAATAACTAGCATTCTAAGTAAATTAACCAAAATTAAGTAAAATAACGTTTTTTTAAACTTGTTTTTTAACCAATTGGTTGTTTTCAACCATTAACATATTTAAGGTTACTATCAACTAAAAAATAACCCTTTAAATTTACCAACCGGTTTCTATAAACGTAAGGTAAAATCAAAGGTTATTTTTTAGTATAATTTAACTAATAAAAGAAACCTATTGTTAATAAATTGATTATAAAAAGAAGGTAATTTGAGATGTTACATAACGTTATATTAACTTTTAATTTTAACCTTTGAAAATGGTTAAGACTAGTTTTTAAGACATATTTTGGTTTAGTTTAACTTTTGATATTACTTTTTGGTAACCACATCTTTGGTTAATTTTAATATATTTTTTTTAACCAATATTTTACCAAATATATTTTAACACGCTGGTAAATTAACGTTAATTAATAAACTGGTTAAACAAGTGATGGTTATGCAGTTTTTATTGTTACCTGCATAGACAAATACTTAATACAGCTTTATATATAAACCTATAGGTTGTGAGTTTTGTGTGATAATATAGCTTTAAAAGAAATAATTTAAAAAAATATAAACTTTCTTTAACTTATAATATAATAATAATAGTTAACAAAGTTGTAAATAATTATTTATAAACAAATCTTAAAACAGTCCACTCACATTTAATTAATTTGGTAAACATCTATAGGTTTTATCACAGAACAGATGCGTTAAAAAAAATAAAGCAGGGCGCAACTAAAATCAAAACGTAAGATCGGCGGAATTTTTTTTTAGGTTAGTAATCTTAAAAATAACAAGTTAGTTTAATTTGACTAATTTTAGTAATTATTAACTATAATGTGTTACATTGAACTAATTTAAACCAAAACCAAAGAGTTATAAATTACCGATAGGTAAATAAAGTAGTTAAATTAAACACAATAAAATGGTTTAAATAAACTTGCAGGTTAATTTAAATTTGTTATTTATCCAATAAGTAAAAGCATCCTGAAATCGCCATATTGTTTGTTGTCCATTCTAACAAAAGGAAATTTTAATAATGTTTTATTTGAAAAATAAGGTAATATAAACAAACCAATAACAAAACATAAAAAGTTAATAAAAATAAGTAAATTTGTATGTAGATATAAAAAATTATTTTATGTATATAATAATACCATTATTTTTTATACCGAAAAATTATTTTAACCAAAATAAAATGTAGGCACCTTTAGGCAATTTTCTCAATTAAGTACTTAGACTTCAACACCGACAAAACAGACGGATTTTAATGGAAAAATTGACAATTTTACATTAATATTCTTCAGAAAATAATTTTAAGGTGTATGTTAATTCGCTCATTATTTTTTACGACTTTTTGAGTAAGGATGAAAATAGCCGATTTTAGGCATTCTTAACATCCTCATAATTATAATTATCATTATTTTATGTCTTATTATGCCTACCCGTAAAATGTTCAAGAAACACCGTCAATTTGAATAAATTTGCTGAAATATTTTAATCTTTCTATAGGCCGTGAGGTCATAGATCTATCAGTAGATTCACCAGCTAGATCCCCAGACCTGATGGTGTTGATTTTTTATTTTTTTGAATGGAGGGTTTATACCTTTATCAATTTATCCCTGATCTCCCAACTAAACAACCCAGGGTTCTCCTTCTTCAGCTCCTCAATTCGGGCCTCGATTTCCGTGGTGGCCACTCTAGGCTTGCTCCCGCCGATGACGCCGGGTTTGATGCTGCCCGTCTCCTGGTACCTGTTCAATATCTTGGAGACGCAACCGTGCGATACGCGTAGCTGTCGCGATATCACACAGGGTCTAACTCCAGCAGCAGCCATTTCCACGATCTTCAGTCTGATGTGGTTCGGGAGCGGGCGCCCGTTGATGAAAACACCCCCGAGCTGGTTGACGCGGCCCTGACCTGCAAAATTAATAGAAGAATGGTTAAGTTGACAGTGATTGGAAACATGAAGGTACTGGAGACCATCATCTAGACGATGAGCTCAGTTTTGGCGAGAAACAAAGAACCCAAGTTGATTAACAAGCGTGGATTGTTAATGATAATTTAATCACGTCAAGGGGTTGGTAGATGGGTAATTTGGAAGGCCGCATCGAATTGATGCAGCTATAATTTTTGACCTTTACTGTTCTTTAAATTGACCGGCAACATCTCAAGCTCAGGTAAAATCCTGAGTGATAGGTGGGGAACCTGGTCATTCACTGAATTAAAACATGACGAGGTTTAATCAATTGAATTATGGTTTTGTGAGTTTGGGTTGTTTATATTAATTTTAGTTACAATAGAAATATCGTACAAAAACATAATGAGCATTCTTGGGCCTGGTTGTACAATTTGGAAAACAAGATGATTGTGACAAATTGTATGGTATCACTGTTTCGTTAAAAGAAAGAAAAAACATACCTTGAAATGGATATCCTCCCCATATAGGCTTCATATCCATGTTGGTGTTTGGTGGGCACATCTAAATCATGGCACCAAAAAATAAAAATAAAAACAAAAAAACTCGAAACCCGAAACTGAACGGCAAGCGACGGAACTGTACCAGTGGGTACGATATTTTCGCGTGAAATTTAGGTAAAACTGAAACTAAAATTACTGATAATAGCCAGCTGTTTTAAGAGCACCTGGATATAAACTATGGTGGTGAACTATTGGTCGCGAGAGACTAAAAAAATTGAAGTTAGTTTTGATTTTCTCCGAGCACTTAAAACAAGTTGCCGACGTACTGCAACCGTCCTATACTGCTTTCTTCCGATGGTATACATGGGAGGGGCTGGGCGAGTACACAATATATTCCGAATGGGTTGGTTCAATTTGGTGCGGCCTCTTTGCTGGGGTAATTTCATACGTGCTGATCGTGGAAAGTGCATTTTTAATAAATTTTACGATAGCATTTGCATGTAGGTTGCTATTACCGAAGGCGTTCGGTTACTTTTTCTAAAATGGCTACTTGCAAGTCAAGACAAAAATATGCATAATGTCATTTATTGTGAAAATGAGATTTTTTTTATGTGTACATTGGAAGAAGCTTTCATTATAACCACAATTGTTTCTTCAAATCAATCAAGTCAAGCACAAAAGGAACCAGCACCCGATAAACCGCGAACGTCAGAAAAACAAGCGGAGAAGTAATTTTGCACGTTACCGTCGAATTTCTAAATTTGCGTCGAATAAAGAAAACGGCCCAGGTGGTCCGAAGCGCCTTCCATTCACCCAAACAAAAAAGACCCCCAAGAACCCAACAGTTGACTTACCTGATTAAGTTGGTCACGCTTCGAACTCAATGTTATTATCACTGCTCACTTCGGATCAATTCTTTCTTTGATTCTTCCAATAAACCCAGCATTATCTATCAGTTTTTTTACAGAAAATTACATTTTTCTACTTTGCATCAAGAGATTTCCAATAATCTCATTACATTGAGCATCAGCATTATTATTAGAGTTACCGCGAGACGAGACGAGACGAGATAAAGCCTTGTCTCGTCTCGTCTCGAAATTTCGAGATAACATTTTTCGAGACGAGACGAGACAAGTTCGAGACGAGACGAGACAAGGCCTTATCTCGTCTCGTCTCGTTTTGTCTCGTTTGTCTCGAATTGTTTTGGTTTTTTGGTTTATCTCAATTTAATTTTGAATTATCGGATAAATTCAATAAAAAATAATAACTCAGTTATTCGCCTCACTCTTAATAGATTCACGTCACAAATTGGAAACCTTTTCAATGACATTCTGTGGTGCAGAAATAAAAAATAAATCATACCAAAAATTTGAAACAATTTACTGTGAAAAATACGCACCGACTAGGCCAATTCCACCTATACAAGAAACTGAAGAACAATCTGGCTCAGATGAAGACATGGATATTGAATTTTTATTCAAAAAGGCTACTCCTCAATCCGAAACTGAAGAGTTTTGGAAACAAGAACTAAACGCATACTTTAATTCAGAAAGAGCATCAAAAGGGGAAATATTGTTGGAATGGTGGAAAAGAAATGAAGTAAATTATCCACACATTTCAAAGATGGCAAGAGACCTATTAAATATTACCGCAACACACGTTCCTTCAGAACGCCTTTTTTCAAAAGCTGGATTAGTAGTCACTGAACTTCGGAATCGACCTAATGCTGAGTCGGCTCGTTCATTATTATGTCTTAATTTATGGTACACTTGTAGGTACGTTAAAAGATAAGCTAAACTTTGATTAGTAAAACTTACCTATTCCTATACTTACCCCATGCTGTAATACCAAAATATTTTTTAATGATTTAGGATTTTTTTTAGTTACCTATTTCCCTGTAATGTGATATTCGTACTAACAATGTTAATGATATATTTAATATTTATTTTCAGTTTAGAGTTTATTGATTTATTTTGTTTATTATAAAATACATTTATTTGGTTTCTTTTTTACTGTTTATTCTCTATAAGGTATGTATGTATGTCCTCGAAAACCCCATGCAGTTTTTGAAAAGGTTTTATATTTTATTACAAGTTTTATTTTAACAATTTATATGCGCGTATTACCAGCTCATACCCTATAATGCTGTTTTTTGCTAATTCTGAAGTTAAAAACAATTATTAAAACTTAAATGCTGTTATTAGTATGCGTTTAAAGCGTATTAAGTCATTAAAATATTTCGAATATGTCTCGAATTTGTCTCGTCTCGTCTCGTCTCGCCTTGTCTCGAAGGATGTTATCTCGTCTCGTCTCGTCTCGAAATTCGAGACAAAATGCTCTCGAGACGAGACAAAATGGCTTCGAGACGAGACGAGACGAGACGAGACGTCTCGTGTCTCGTGTCTCGCGGCACCTCTAATTATTATAAAAGAATTAAGTCCTACAATATTTTGTAAAAAATTTGTAGTAAAAACCCAAACATGAAAAGAATTTATGTCACTGTCGCTTCACTTGCTTTGGTCTAAATTGAATATAGTACCTACATAATTTTGCTGTAAGAGAAGTTTTAAATCATGTTGTTTATAGTAAAAAAAATTACTCAAAACAAAGTCCCTTTGGCCGGTGTACTGTATAAAAATATAATTGCAGTTGAGTCTTAGTTGAGTGCCAGTGTCAGAACTATTTACCCTAGTTGTAAACAAAGAATGGGGTTTTGAAAATCTTGTATAAATGCGTTTTTGCTATAGAAATCTAAAAGAAGTAGTAAAATAATTTATAAAATAGAAAAACTAGAAAAAGTTTCATTCCACTCAAAAATAGATGGACAACAAAAAATTAAAAATTCCCTTCATTAGAAAAAAGTTACGGTGTTTTTTTTGGACAACCCTATATAATTAATCTTTTAGGTAATCGAAGAAGCTGCAAGTGAACCGATAGTATTTTAACATGTCGGAAGCAAAACAATGGAGCATGGCGTATATATATATATATATACATATACAAGGTGTCTCTAAACTTATTGGCATAAATTTAGGAAAAGATTGAGCAAGTCAAAATAAGGCGAAAACCTAAATAAATATTTTTCCCAATTACTTATGTTTCCAAGATACAGGGTGATAAAATGTTACTTATCATATCAGTTTTTTTAATATAACTTCTACTATGGTAGTCTTGGAAAGGTGATATTTTGCGAACAGTCACTTACTACGAAAACACATATTCACACATAATTACAATTGTTTGAGTGAACACAGTGTCGTAGAAACGGGGGTTGCTTTAAGCTTATTGTCCCATACAAACTTTGAGGTTAGGTTTTTATACCATTTGATGCAATTTTTCGATTACTCAGTTCGGCTACTATTAAAAATGTGTACCTCTCAAACTTCGATAAAATAAACCGTTTCCGAGATATTCGAGATTACAATAATTGTTATATCGCATTAAAGTACTAAAAGGTATATGATAACAAATTTTTTAATTAAAAAAACTACAATTTTTTTAATGTGACAGTCAGGGCAAAAAGTCCCGAGGCTCATGGAATGCCCTTTTTAGTTTTTTTAATTAAAAAATAAAATTTGTTATCATATACCCTTTAATCCTTTTAAATAAAGTTTGAGATGTACACCTTTTAATGGTAGCCGAACTGTGCAATCTAAAAATTGCATAAAATGTTATAAAAACCTAACCTCAAAGTTTGTATGGGACAATAAGCTTAAAGAAACCCCCGTTTCTACGACACTTTGTTCACTCAAAGAATTATAATTATGTGTGAATATGTGTTTTGGTAGTAAGTGACTGTTCGCAAAATATCACCTTTCCAAGACTACCATAGTAGAGGTTATATTAAAAAAACTGATATGATAAGTAACACTTTATCACCCTGTATCTTGGAAACCTAAGTAATTAGGAAAAATATTTATTTGGGTTTTCGACTTATTTTGACTTGTTCAATCTTTTCCTAAATTTATGCCAATAAGTTTAGGGACACCTTGTATATATAATCATAAATCTTTTAAATAAACTGCGCACTACTCAATGTGTCGCGACCAAAAAGTTCGTTCTTTTTTAAAACGACATAACTTTTTTGTTTCTTGAACTATTTTATTTTGGTCTGTGTTGTCTGCTAGCCTTATCCTCTGGAAATTCATGCTATAGATATGAAGGTCTTGGTTCTTCAAGTAAATTTCCTACAGGATGATATGTTAAACGGTGAAAAATTTCAATAACTTCATCCAAGCCCCGTTTGTAAAAAAATAATTTTTTTCTCGTTTTTACTTTAAAATAATGAAGTATTCTGTCTTACCTTGAAACGTTTTTCAAATTTTTCGAATTGGAATCTTAGCAACGAAAATATGATTTTTTTTCCCAAAAGAGTACATTTAAGGCTTTTTTGTATGCAATACACTCAGTCTTTTTAGGAACAAGAAGATAAGATGGTGAAAGAATGTTCCTTAAATAATTCTGAACAAGCGACAAGCAACAAACTTCCATTATTTTCAGAGGGCCTAAGCAAGGACAACTTTTTAAAAATTACATTTTGGTAAAAATTTTAGAAAACTAAACCCAAACCGATATTTAAGTTCTTGACATTTTTTTACTGTGTTTTGCATCTTTTGTACGGTATTATCATGTCGCTGGATGATCAAATCGAGGATCAAGTGAAAATTAGTTCTTGAAAGACCTTTAAAACGCATTATGAGGGATATTCTTGATTTTTTCAGTTTGCTTGTGTTTTTCCAAATTTCGAAGTTTTTTTGCATAAGTTATACCTACCTACCTACCTACATACCTACCCCTATCTTACCCAGGTTACTTCCATTCTTCCTTTAAATGATTAAAATACCAATGCCAGACTTTGCTGCAGCTACGGGAATTAACATCTCCAAATCAAAACCCTTAAATGCACTCCTTTGGAAAAAAATCATATTATCGTTGCTAAGATTCCAATTCGAAAAATTTGAAAACCTTTTCAAGGTAAGACATTATTATAATACTTCATTATTTTAAAGTAAAAACGAGAAAAAATATTTCTTTTTTTAA